AAGGAAGTCCAGGATTAGTTCAGAGTCTGATCAGTATAGGTACTTTTGTACTTTTGGTTTTTGTACAGTCATGGCTTTTCTGTTCTGTCTTTCTTTCTGTCGAAAGCCATGTACTGTTCTGTAGATGATTGTTTTGAGGAAATGAAATCGGATAGATGTTTTGTTCCGCTGCATTTGATGATACATAGTAGCTCTGTGTTTGTTAGTCTGTGTGAATTAATTATTTGGAAGATTCAGTTCCGAACCAAATTCCAAAGCTAGATCCTGGTTAGTGCAGCTCCGTCGCGATCCAGCACGGGCGGGATCCGTCTCGTCTCGGGTCGGGTCGTGACAAGCTTTTTTGGTATCAGAGCAATGGTTTTGGAATTTGAGAATTTTGTGAAACAGAGCTATAGGAAGTGATCAGTAAGTCTGTCTGGGGGGTAATTTTGATTTGTTTGGCTTTTTATTTTGTTGTTTTTGTGATAGTTTTCCGGATTTTCTGGATTTTTCTGTATGGATCAGCCAGACCCAGACATGACAGATGGTCAGAGTGCCGATCAGGCAGCACCAGTGGGGAGTACAGCCCCAGTGGTCGGTGCTGATACGCTTTCTCAGTTTGCTTCGGGGGGGGTGTGCACCGGCATGCTTGGAGTAGGTAGGGATTGATTGGATGGGTTTCCTTAAGTGGTCTCGTCTAAAATTAGGAGGAAATAATGAGCAAAATATTAATCTTAATTTTTATTTGAAATTAGATCCACGAATTGAACACTTTCCTAATATGGATTATGTCGATTTAGGAAAGAATTCAAAATTTGAATTTGAAATTAGATTTTGAATTGGAGTTCCCTCCTAATCTTCATGCTCTACTTTTGGAAAGAAGCAAAACAATTAATTTTGGATCCATGGGAGGGGAAAGCCGGCGGCTAGGGTTTGGGCGGCTTTAGGCTAGAGAGGGAAGGGGTGTGGGTTAAGTGGAGTTGACTTGTTGTTTGGGGTGGAAAGATGATTGATCGGTGGCTTGGAATGGAGGATTTGGTGAAGGCCGGTGGTGAGGAAGGGGGGGGAGCTAAGGCCGGTGGCTTGAAGAAGAGAAGAAGAGAAAAAACTAAAAGAAAATTGATAGAACCACGAACTCGGACGCTTCCAAGGTTTGTGGGTGATCCGTTGACCTTCACCAAGGGACTTCTCCAAAGCTTTCTCCAAAAACTCTCAAACTCTCTCAAAACACACAAGTGTAGGAATTTTCATAATATTCATTCATTAACCCTCAAAAAAGAAGATGGAGGCTTTAAATAGCTCATACAATGAGAAAATACAAAGTACTACTATGCCCCTAGGGCTTACTATTGCCTACACCTTAAGTAAGGGCAAAAATGAAAAAAACATAATAAAACTTCATAAATAAAACTAATACATCAAAAATAAAAATGAAAATCAAAAGTAGAGCGGTGTAATCATGGCCGTAGATCTACGGCCACGCCTCTGATAAACTTTCCATGTCCTGATGTCCTCATCAACTTTATTCTTATTCTTATTATTATTATTGAATTTTTAATTGTTTGATTGACAAAGTTGATGGCATTGGAAAAATTTTTTATTGAATGGCAAGGATGCAGGTAAGGGCCTCAATCATGCTAGCAGGGAAAATATTCATAGGGCTAGAGAATTCTATGGTCTTTGTATCAAATATCTTATAGCCTTTATATCTTTTGTCAAAACAAATGTATTTTAACCCCGATGATTCTTTTCTAATGAGCACCTGTTATTAAGAAAAAAAATATATCTATAATTGCGATCCATCTAGTTTTTGGATCAAGATAGCTTCGTTGGTTGACTCTTCAATATTAATTAAATATGTTCTTAAATATGTACAACCTTGTTTTCTTAGCAATTGTAGGGATGTTCATAATGGTAGGTTTAAAAAAATAATAATAATGGTAGGTTTAACAAATTTTGGTCAGGTAATTAGATCGAGGGTTTTCTTGTTATCTATCAAATTCAAAGGGCTTTTTGATATCAGTCACTATCCATTATATGCTCAATTAACTCCTAATACACTAATGATTTGGAATGGCATCCAATGGCCAAGGAATTTTCCTTTACAATTATCTTATAATGTTATTTTCTTCGACTTTCATATCATTAAGGTTGACGTATCCTATTCAAAGATGCTTCTTATTAGTTCCTCTCTAATGATAATTTCATTTTGAATTTTTGTGTAACTTCTTGATGGATGAGGGTATCACTTGCGTTTATTCGATCTCGAATTTAATGATCACTTTGAAATCTTGATTCATGTTTGAATGATTTATATCATAAGGTTATAAGGTAAAGTTCATTTTTTATAAATTGGGCATTATCCTCTCTTGCATTTGTAGTACATTTAATGCTGATTGCATCTTCTCTTCAATTGTTAGATCATTTGTAATATTTAAAGGTGATTATATCGGTTGTTCAAAACTAATATCTCTCTTTTTTTTTTATTGCTCGTTAATTCTATTTTGTTTTGTGTAGTTTTTTTGTTTGTTCTCTTTTTTATTTCTTATTTCTTCTTTGTAACTTGTTTTGCTGATTTTAATGAGAAGGGTTTATCTTACTTTTTGGATTTATTTATATATGCATACATATATCGAGGTGGGGTTAGGGGGAGTGGGTAACTTTATAGGTGATTAGGAAATATGCCTTATCATCTATAAGGTGTTTAGTTGTGATTCCAATTAATGTAATAAGATCACTCCAACGCCAAAATTGTTACAGACCTAATGATAGGCCGTTTCTAATTTTCTTCTTGATCTTTAAATTTATCTTTGGCTTGCATGCTATGATGCACCGACACACCTCTTGAAGAGAGAATGCAGTGTCGGACACTGACACATGTCAGACACGGCTAGGACACGTGTCAAACACGGCAGACATGTGTCTGATTAAAATAATGTTTAAATTTAATCCGACACGTCTGGGACACGTTTCGGACACGGCTGGGACACGTGTCGGACACGGCTGGGACACATGTCGGATGCATCTGTGACACATGTCGGACATGGTTGGGACACATTTGTCCTAATTTTTTATGATAAAATTATTTTAATTATAAATAGATGATATCCAATAAACTATTATGAGGGAGAACTAGAGAATTGTAGAAGTAAATAGATATATTCTTTGTGATTTGGATTAGAGGATAAAGAAATATTATGGGAGAGAACTAGAGAAGTAAATAGATACAAAGAAGAACCAACTTTCATTATATGATATTCAATGAACTATTGCAAATCTTTCTTTTGATGAAACAGAGTTGGAAGCAATGATATTCAATGAGGATATTGAAGACCAAAAACAAACCTCTGAAGCTAATCTTAGTTGTTGTAGCAAGTTGTTATTTGCTTATTTTTGTGGTTGTATTAGACATTTTGTACTAAATATTTTATATTATAATCTAGACAAGTTATTATGCCATTCATTTATTATTATTATTTCATTTTTAATATGATCTTACATTAATATCTACACGCTATATAAAAAAAATGTAATGCCGTGTCCGCGCCGTACCTGTGTCCTATATTTTCAAAAAAAGTCGTGTGTCGGTGTCCGTGTATCATAGCTTGTATGGTATTTTCTTTGAATTCATTGTTCATTGATTGAATTCATTGAATGCAGAGTGGGGTGAATCTGGATTTAGAGAGTGCATTTTGGAGAGAAAATATCCCTGGTAGGGGTGTTAGCCTATGAATAAACTTAAAAAAATTGGGTTGTGTTTCAACTCAATTTTTGAATGGGCAAGGTTCATGTCAAGGTAGATTTGGGTGGATCATACCCCCTCCTGACCTGCAACTAAAATTTAAGATAAATTGGTTTGTTTAAAAATTTGTGTTGTGATCAAATGAAATACATATAATAATAAGATTAAATTGGATTCAAGTCAATATTTAGCCAAAATTAAATGGGTTAATGTGTTGACTTGTATGAATTGGTTTGGATTTGGGTTTAAGCCTACTTGGGTTGGGTTTATTTCAACCCTAATTCAAACTCGGCTCGTTGATCAGAATTAACACACTTAATGGCTAGGAATTTCGAACAAGGAAATCCCGAAAAGAGGAGTTAACACATGGATTTGCACCAGAGAGACAAATAAAGAGGGATTTTAACACTCAAGTTCTAAAGAAAAGAGGTCATTCAGATGATGCAATTCAGTAGTGAGCAGTCATTGTAGGGGAGAGAATAGAGGAGAAAATTTAGTAGGAAAAGAGGACTTAGGTTTGCGATTCAATTCATAATAAATAATTATTTATTTATTATGTTGAGCATAATAGAGATAAGATGTGAAGATGGATGTGCACCAAAATGAGAAAGGATATATTAAGGAATGATTATATTACAGGAACAATTAGAGTAATGTTTATTGAAGTTATGATTTAAAATAGACTTGGGTGGTTTAGATATGTACATTGAATGATAAAAAATATACTATTAGACGAGTCGCTAAAATTAATATTTGAGTATTAGGAAGGAGAATGGGTAGAACTAAGGTCAGCTTGGATAAAAGTTCAAAATAATGTGCAGAGGATAGATTTAACAACTTTGGCAAAACTTAATATGAATAAATGGAATATGAGGATTCTTAAAGCTGACCCTAAATAGTTGGGATAATGATAATAAGTTGAATAAATAATCCATTACAATACAACCATACCCATATTTATAGGAATAAGATTACATGAAAATTTCTAATTATTTAAGATTTAAATTTAGATAATTCATATGAATAAGAGAAATACTAAAATAATTCTATAGATGAGGATAATTCACCTAATTGTCACATGACAATCAATTACATAAAAATAAATAAATTAGTAGAAATTATTAAAAAAATATAGAATAAACTAGAACTATTTTTTATACATGTCTCTTGTACTACCCTCAATTTTCCTCTTTTTTTGCTGATTCCTCATGTATTGTTGTACAGGCTTCTTTTTTCATTTCTTGCTGTCTAATGCTGAGTTTTTCCCCCTCAAATTCAGGATGAGGAAACCATACAACTGAAAGAACGGATTCGTACTGAAGTAATAAAGGATCTCAAAAGGGTGGAAATGACTTGCAGGGACATGGCTTCAGTGCTGCGTGCTTTAGGGATTCATGTCAAAGGTGGTTTTTCTCCTACGGTGAATGAGGTGAACTACATAATTTCTTCTATTCCATGATTCTTCAGCCTCGTCATAATATTTTAGTTAACAGTAAATTTATTTTGGAGTGTGAAGAGGAGGGTAGGCGCAAAGCCGGCACATGCTTCTTATCCTCGTATTGGGTTTCGGATTAATCTGATCTAATGATATGTGATCACTGGCATGTTCTGATGGGTTGTGCGTACCCAATAAACAGAATAATATCAATATAATAATTAATTATTTTCTTTGTTTTAAATTGTCTTAATTTTTTTTTAATCATCTGGAATGAATCATTAATCATAAGGTGAATGCTTATCATTTTAATAACGGGTAGGAAAAAGATTTGATGGAAGCTTGTGTTCTAGAACTTAAGGTAATCACTTGATTGCTAATTATTTTACCAATTGTACTTGTCCATCATGTCACTTGAAATGCTGGGAAAAGAATTTGACAGAATCATTTTATGTGATCCTAGAATGCAGCAGTGCAAATTGTTCATGGAGAATGTTATTCCTTGAAACACTGTCCTTCTAGTAATTAGTGATAATTTTCTTGCATCTGACCGCAAGTGTAATGTAACGAGATAATGATCAGAATGATCCCTTAACTTTTTACAAAGGATCAAAATAATTTCCGACTATTTATAAGTCCCATTTTAATCCGTTCACTTTTTAAATAGAAACCTAAATGATCTAATCAAATGATTAATTTGATTTTTATTTAAATAGTCAAGGGATTAAATTGACATTTTTATTTAGTCAGAGATTATTTTAGTCATTCAGAAAAATTTGAAGAGTTTAATTTGACATAATCATTTTATGTGTTCCTAGAACACGGTAGTGCAAATTGTTCCTGGATAATGCTATTCTTTGAAACATAAATATCCTTCTAGTGATTAGTGTAATTTTCTTGCATTTGACAGTAAGTGTAATTTAACGAGATAACTATCAGAATGGTTCCATGACTTTTTACAAAGAATCAAAATGATTCTCCACTATTTAGAAGTCCCATTTTAATTCATTGATTTTTCAAATAGAATCCTAAATCATCCCATTGGAAGGATTAATTTGGTTTTTATTTAAAGAGTCAAAGGATTAAATTGACATTTTTATATAGTTAGAGATTATTTTGATCCTTCTGAAAAAAATAGGGGATTAATTTGATCATTTTCTCATAATTTAACCAATCATGATATGTTTTCTTGAAAAGTAAGTTAGGATAGCCTTCATTGATGATTGCAAGTTTTAGATTAGCTTCAGGAAGATGATGACCGCATGAAGCTAACAATTCAAAATATAGCATTGAGGGCAGACCTAATTTGTTCCCCTCCCTCTGATATTTACCCAACTGTTTCCACATATTATGAAGACGCCCTGGATTCTAGTTTAGCTGCTTTAAGCCAAGCTCTTTATAACAAAGCATCCATAAAAAGACAACTGATTGTTTATTCTAATGTAATTTGCTCTTTATTTGTATCTTTCCAATATTGTTTTATTGAATATACAGAAACAAGTTCAACTGTACTTTGTGATTTATACATAACTCTCTTCCGTTAAGTTGCATTAAATATTTTTCTCTTGATGGAAAGAACTTGGATTCATTTTTAAAAAAGAAAACATGCAAAATTGTGAAAGCTAATTAGTACATAAATCTTCCAGTCTGATGGTGCTATATTATGTTTCGGCTATGTTGATGTGATAACTTTGTAACTATTTAGACTTCGTTTTGGACGGCTTCTTTGTTGCTTTTTAAAATAGCTTTCTTATAGAAAATTTTGTATAAAAAACTATTTTAGAAAGCAAAAAAAAAGCTGTCCCAAATAAAGTCTTAGGCTTCGTTTGGGACAGCTTTTTTGCTGCTTCCTAAAATGGCTTTTTAGTACAAAAAGAAAAATTTTTATACTAAAAAGTTGCTTTTAGAAGTAATAAGAAAGTCGTCCCAAACGAAACCTTAATCTATTTCCTATGTTTAAATTCATTGTACACATTTTCACATCAGCCACTAAAATGTTCTAGGGGTGGAAGGGACGTCGATGTTTCTTTAGTAAGATCAATGATTCTAAGTTTATGCTTTTTTTTTTGACAGATCAATGCTGCGTATAAACAAGCTTTGCTTAGATTTCATCCAGATCGAGCTTCGAGAACTGACATTCGACAGCAGGTAGAAGCTGAGGAAAAGTTCAAATTGATATCTCGTTTGAAGGAGAAGCTGTTACTGTAGTTCGATAGTATTTTAGGACATTTAGAAGTCTCAAAATATATTATATTGACTCACTGCAACTACTGCTGCTGTACAAAATATACACCCAACTCATAGGATTGTATGGCAAAATTTATTTAAGGAATTCTTCACAGAAGATAGTGAGGAACGATCAAAAAGACCATTTGAATATGCATAAGGATTAGTGTTTCATTGATGGTGTTCAAATTTTCTTATATGGCACAAATCATAATGCAGACTTAATGGTTTTTATCATTCCTCGCAAAAAAAATCCTGTATTGCGTTGCTACCTCTCTCATGTAAAGTCTCTTGCAGGCAACTCCTGAGTTACAAATTTTTGTCTGCTATACAGTTTCTCAAGTATGTTTTGCTTGAACGTTTTCTTTTAATCTATTTTTTAAGAGTATCCATTGCCTTGATTAGCCGATATTGCAGAGATGCCACTGAAAGTGTGCTGGGGATAAACAAGTTCTCTTCAACTTGGCAGAACTTACACCTTAGTATCAAGAGTGGACAATGGATCTCTCTGCTAGGTTTGATGTTAGGGGTGTAATTGGGGAAACTATTCTGGGCGGAGTCCGGACGGGGAGAAACATTCGAATTTGTTGTGTATTTACTGCATATATGTAAATACTCGACAAATATTCAGTTGTGAGTATTTGCTGAGTATTGCTAATTTGCGAGTATTTATAAATATTCAGTAAATACACAGCAATATAGACGGTTCTTCTTGTCTAGATTTTGCACATAATAATTTCTTGTGTAATTGAGTTGATAAACTAATGAGATGTCTTAATTTATGGATCCTTACTCTTGAGGGTGATGATGGGAGGTGGAAAGGGGGTTTCTGATGGTAGAAAGCAAAGCCCTACATGGGGTCTTGGTTGGGTACCCATACTTTACTTGGACGGGCTTCGCCACCCACGCTCACCTATAGTGACTTTCAAGTGTCATATTCACCTATATTTGCCTACTTTCCATACTATTTGAATGCAGTCTGCCACGAATTGATAGTCTTGAGGCTTGTTGCTCTTCGCTCTGATTGCAAACTTTCAAGCCGCATATTAAAATTTATCGTAGTCACAGCGTGGTTAAGTGTTGCACACTACGTAGTGAGGATTGCAGTAATATAAGATATACAGTGATTATCAATGTAAATCGATTTATCCACCGATGTTGAGTACCCATCCATACCGACCCACAAATCTATGAGCATACTCATATCCACTCATACCCAATGCAGGGCACTGGTAGAAAGTTGATTATTTTGGATTATAAATATATTTGTAAGTTAAATAAAGTTAGGACTTCTAGTCATAGATGCCACTCAAGCTCTGCACTTCTCCATTTAGGTTGATAGGGATTTCATCTGATAAGAAAAAATGAAGTTGAAGCAAGATTTGCAATTGTTAATGAGTTAACATCCAGAGAAGTATAAATCTTACTACAAATTCTATAAATTATCATTTGGTTTCAACAGCAGAAGGGTAGGTCCTGAATTCTAATCCAAAGGGGAATGGCTAAGAACTCTTTCTTAAGCTTGAAGTAAGGATCCAAAAAGGAATCATGGCCTCCTCGTTCATGTAAGATCACAATCTTTGTGACCTGAGAACTTAAAAAGAGTAAAAATTATTTATTTTCATCAGGAGCAAATTATTTATTTTCGATCTAAAGCCCTTCATATGCTTGTCCCATTTGAGCACAACTCAATGTGAAGTTATAGCAAAGGGTTATAATTAATGTGACAAATAGTTTATTAAGGGGATGTTTGGTTAGCTCCATAAGTAATGCAATAGTTTTTTTTCCCTACATTTCAAAATTTTTATGTTTTGCCTAAAGTAAAAGAAATGCAAAGTGAACTTTTGAAGGATTTGAAAGTGTGAAAAACCTATTCTTTTGTTGGATTTGAAAATTGTCAAAATCGGGCAATTTCTAAATCTCATATTATGGTTGTTTGTGATTCGTGATCGATGTTGTCTACCACTGCCATCTGCTATAGTTTGCATGCCACCACTATCCACCACCGCCGTCACCGTCTGTCACCCATCACCACCACTACACCGACCTTATCATTGCTTATGCTCTCATTCATATTTCAATCCATTTGAAATATGTCATTAAAAAAATTTCAATGCATTTAATTTGCATCCAACTATATAAATCCTACACTTTAAAATGCATGCATTTAGAATATTGTGTTTTAAAATTATATGTATTTTAAAACATCCAACTAAATTGTCCCTAAATACTCTTAAGAGAGGGGTCAATATTAGGCCAAATTCCAAAAAATTGACTTAAAGTTAGTATAAAAAATTTATGTTCGGGTCAATCAATGTAAAATTTGGATTGGGTTCATATCAATTGAAGTGGCTCAAAAAATTTTGGATTGGGTTCAAGTCAACCCAAAAAATGATTAACTATATATTTTTTCTTAAATAAAGAACTAATTAACTTGTTCTCTTAATAGGATATAATGAAAAAAAAAAATTCATGTAATGGGATAAAGGCTTGATATTGTTTGAAGAATATATATATATATATTGAAAGCTTACTCATTTCCATATTGAGTTGAGTTGACACTCATTATATATATATATATTTTGAAAGCTTACTCATTTCCATATTGAGTTGAGTTGACACTAACCCATCATCACTTTTGAGTTTGTTCAATATCACTTTTTCAATGCTTTTGCTTTTGAGACCGTTGCCACACCTCCATTTGACTATAACTTTCTTATTGCTATTTTTATATTTTTGTTGTGAGAATTAATTTCTTACAACTAAATCTTTTAGAGTGGTAGTTGTAATAAATTTCTTACAAATAGAGCGAAATCACATTGTAAACGAAGCCAGAAAAATTGCATTTGGAGCTATATTAAAGTTTTGTCTCGTCCCAGGTGTGACGCTAGCCCACAACTGTGGGCATCTTTGATTAACTGAAGCCTCCAAGAGGATTATGGAATGCATAATACATTGCCTTTAAATAAAAATCCATGTCGCAGGGAATAATCAACAAAGGGTTTAACAAGTGAACACTGGGTATAGTTCTTTAAAGCAATCCAATTTAATCATCTTAGTTTGGAGCTGAATCATCATAGCAGCTCCGCGACTAAGTGCATTAGTGACCCTATTTCAAGAACCCAACTTATGCCTCCAGACAAATGCGAATTTCTACAGAAAAATGATCTAACGGATGTGCATTCAGCTGATGTTTTTATGATTATTGATAAATTATAGTGCTTGATGATGCATATCTCAAAATCCTAATGTAAAAGGTAATGCTCCCAATATTTGGGTGCTCAAACTACTATATATAACTCTTGCTTGTAGACGGTTCACATTTAACATGTCGAACTGAGATTTTCATTGTAATACTCTGTCGGTCGATCCAATTGAGATAAGATAGCTATGATGCCAACTGCATAAGCATTAGTATCAACCTTAAACTGTTTTTCAAAGTTAGATAACACTAGCATAGGTGCTGAACTCATAGCAATTTTAACAGCTTTGAAACTCCATTGTTGAGCCAGGGACCAATTAAAGCTTTTAAAACAATATGCAATTGAAACCATAACGATGCTGAAACCATGAATGAAATGTTAGTAAAATGGGCAAGGCCGTGAAAGTTTCAAACGTCACATAAGGTCTATGGTGTTAGCCATTCCCTGATGGCTACAACCTCTTATGGATCAGCAGATACACCTTCCTCTTTTGCAATAAACCCAAGGAAGTATACTCTTGATGTAGCAAAATCACACTTTGCTAAATTAACATGTAGTTTGTGATATGTCAAGGTTTGAAAAACCTGAGTAAGATGATCCACATGTTCGGAGAGGTTGCTGCTATAAACGAGGATATCATCAAAGTAAACAACACAAAACTTTCATGGAAAAGATTTTAATACCTCATTCATCAATCACATTAACGTGGAAGGAGCATTACATAATCCAAATGACATCACTTTCCACTCGTACAATCTTTTGTATGTTTTGAAGGTCGTCTTCCACTTGTCTCCAGGTCGAATGTGTTTTTGGTGATATTCGCTACGAAGGTCTAGCTTGGAGAATATGCTAGCACCCATTAGTTTATCTAATAAGTCCTTAATCTGGCGGATGAAAAAATGATATTTGACTGTAATTTTATTGATTGTCCGGCTGTCGATGGACATTCTCCATTGACCATCTTTCTCTTGTATAAGGAGATCATGTACGACACAAGGACATAAACTCGGCTGAATGAGTTGTTTAGGTATAAGATCATCGACTATCTCCTACAAAATGTTATGTTCCTTCGGATTCAAATTGTAATGTGGCAGATTTGGCAAACCATCTCCTAGTGTGAACTCAATTTGATGTTGTATTGTCATTAATGGAGAAAAAAAAACACATGGTAGTTCTGATGGCCCACTGTAATAATGTTTGAACTGGCTCAAGTGGGTGTTTTAAATTTGTTTCAGTATGCTTTTCCATGACTACTAAGGGAAAAAAGTAGCATTAACCTCACAACTAGCATGCATAAGTGTTGAACCAAATATAATGTTAAGGCTAATTTATTTTGTTCATTCATGGCAGATGATTTCTCAGTATTCAGTAAAATTCATAGTCTCTTACACTTCCAATCAAATGAATAAGTGTTTTGTCGGTCATCATATATAGCTTCACTGTCATATTATTAGGGCCAACCCTAGATTATGTGGCATATATTCATATCAAGGACCACATAGTACTTCACAAGAGTATTGTTTCCAATTGATAACACCACTCAACACATTTTTGAAATAGGGATGTATATTCCAAGCTTAACCTAGCTTATTTTATAAGGTTGGGGTTTTTTAGTGAGTTTTAGCTACAATACTTGAACTAGTGAAAGTGACACAATATTTCAGTACAGCCATTGTTTATTAATACATCACATACTTTCCCATTGATTGTATATCGTGTGCGGAAAATGACATTCCATTGTGAGCTAATGAGCTATTGAGGCACTATCAATAGCTTATCTAAGATGTAGATTACAACTTCACCTTCGTCCACCATAATATCTTCCATTTCAGCCTCTCCATCATCCCCCACTGCATCATCATAATTCATCATCTACAATCTGAATCTATGGTTAGTGGGGACATTCATTTGATTTGTGTCCAGGTTAAAAACATCTAAAGCATTTGAGATTGGTAGGCTTTGAGTATAGATTTTATTTTATTGTGGTGCGTTGGAGAGCAACCATCTTAGTTGGCTGAAGGCTATTGTGGTGGTGCTGAATTCTATTTACTCACATGAGGTGATGATTTTGATTCATCCTAGGATACAGAACAAACATAATTTAATTCCAACATGCCTTGGATGGATTCTTTTGATCCCCAAAGATAGTGTGCTGACAGTTGATGGTCGGATTCATGCAAATTATTACGAGCACTTAATATGTAAAATTCCTTTGTATACTCACAAACTGAACGCATTCCTTGGGCACAATATTGATATTTTATATAAAGCATTTGTTCAAAGTCAGTTGGTAGGAAATGACCTCGCAATAACTGTTTTATACAATTCCATCTTTGAACTTAGCCCCTCCCTTCACAGTGCCATGACTGTAACAACTATTTCCACCAAGTGCTCGTACCTCCCTTTAAGCGACAAACAACATATTTCATTTGTTTGTCGGGGGCTATTCCCCTGGATCTTTCACAATCCAAACAATTCTCAAAATGCAATCTCTAATAAAAAAAATCCAATTTAAATCAAAATTCACTCGAGTGCCTTTGAAATATGTCGTGTGGTCTACGCATCGGTGGAAGGACAGGGTATTCCTCAACTTCTAAGTTTGTAACATAAATATGATGAAGTAGTTCTTCTCCCTTAGAATCTTAAATATTTGGTATGGTTTCTAGGCATCTTCTTCTTTCCTGTTCCAATAAATTGTTACCACGAGTTGCTATTGGTATGGTAGCTGAAGCCATTCATCGTGGATTTAGGCTGAATCCTCCACCTAAACGAATAGCTTACAGTTCTTGCCTCATATCAATGGCAAATTAAAAAAAAACCCTAAAGAGAATTTTTCAAGTCGTTTGATGACATTATTTTGAGCTCCCACATAGCCTCCAAGCCCTGATCGTCATTGAGAGTCGTCTGATTACTTCCCTCTGCCATGATTTCTCTCTTCCCGACCACTGACTTTGATACCAACTTGATATATAAACCTTCAAAAGATAGTAATAAGCTCATGGAGAAGCACATAGAAAATGAAGCAAATGAAACTTGTATTCTATTAAAAAGAAATATAACATGTACTACCCACCTTCCCTCTTCCCCCTATATATTCTATCATATTTTTCTAATAATTATCTCTCTCTTACATAAAAAAGGTGATAGTGTACTAAAAACGAATAAAAGCTAAAACTGACAGTGGAAGCAAAATGTAAGAAAAACAAAAACATGATAATTATAAGTATTTAACGGCACTGTATTCCTCAGCTTACACAGCTTACAGTGTGTCAATACTATGCATCATATGGCATTGCAAAACAATAAGTGTGAATGAAGATTTATACTAAGCTCAAATCTTATTCGAGTTAGTTTAAAATAAGGTTCAAACAATATTCGATCAAACATAAATGTTGAACTTTGGTAGAATATTGCTAGTGGTTATTTGAACAAGGAGCATGTGTATACAAAAGGAAATAATTTGATCTCAAATTAACTTATCCTTATCCAAGAAATATATGAGTAAATATATTCCTCTAATTTAGAGCATTGCAAATAATGTATAATTAAAACTTTTATTTATTTTGATTTTTTTTAATAATACACGCTTAGCTTAAATTAAATGTATCACTATCCCCCACAATTTTTTTTTTTTTTTTTTTTTTTTTTTTGAATGACCAAATTTTTTCCCAGCTTATACTCGTTGGTTAACAATCCTTGCCCGCTCCTCTCATGGATCCCACGATCTGGCGCAAGGTCGCCGCCATCTCTGGTGCGCTCATCCTCAACCTCTCTTCTCTCTGCACTATTTTTCCGTCTCCCTTCTTCATTCGAATGCTACGGACTGATGCCCTGATTGTTTTTCTCTACGGATTGAAACAGGAGTTGCTGCCCTTGGTCTTGGGACCTACGGCGCCCACGTCTTCAAGCCAAAAAATTTAGCTTACAAAGATGTAATTCTCCTTTCTAGCTAGCGGTGTCTGGAAGAAGATGTTACTATTTTAGTTTATTGTTCGTTGATTATTGGTGTTTTTATTTTTAGGTTTGGAACACTGCATCCCTCTACCATTTGGTTCACACTGCCGCTTTGCTGTCTGCACCCCTTACTAAACACCCCAACATTGTATGTGCTGGTCACTGCCACTGATATATTTTTTTCTTAATTTTTGATTTCATTTTTATTGGCATGAGCTCTTTGTTACCTTCTCAGTTTGGGGGACTCCTGACTACTGGGATTATTGCCTTCTCTGGAACGTAAGTGCCTACATTTTGGTCGCTAAGTAGTGTATTATGAATACGGTAAAATGATGGGGGAGTTAGCAACTACGCTATATATGTTGTTTGGCCACTTTTTTATATGAAAAATCTTCTACTTGACCTATGTAATTTTATATCACATCTGGATGGACATCAATGTTGGTTATGTAACCACAGGGAAGTTTTATTCTGTATTGGTCATTTTGTTCTTGTTCTTCCTTTAAAGCTAGTCAAATACTCTGAAAGGCAATGAGTGTTAGTTTTGTGTGGAATATGATTTTGTTGATCAATCGGGTTGTATTGTTGACACAGACCTTAATTCCGTCGGTTGACCTCAACAAGAGCTCACAGGAGAGCAAGATGCCTCCTGCTCGGGGGTTTGGGGGCAAAGTCTTGAAAAAAAAATTTCTTGTTTGTGCAATTTGTGTTTCTTATGTGTGGAATCTGATTATGTCGATCAATCTAGTTGAATCATTGACTCAAACCTCAATTCATTTTGTTGAGCTCGCTGGGGGGTGGGACTCTCCTTGCTTTGTGTTTGGGTGAGCGTTGCGGTGTTGTACACCTGGCGCTATAGCTTTGATAGTCAAGCAGGAGAGAGAGTGGAGTGCCACAACGCTACGAGTTGGGCTGAGCAGTTTTCTTTCTTGTTTTTTTATGTTTAACTTGAAGAGTTGTGTCCCTTGCGGTAGTTTGGGCGTCTCTTTTTGTTGGTGTGTGACTTCGTGGTTTTTTTTCGATTTCGAATTTTTTCACATTAAATTCTTGTGTTATTTCTTTTCCATTACATTTTCTCTTTTTTGTTTGTTGTGTGATCTTATTCCCAACACCAATCCACTATAAATCCAGCACCAAAGCACTGTGGAACTCCTCTGAGACAGAGAGAACAACGCCGCAGTGTTGTAGTTCTTACACTGTAGTGCTGCAAGACAGGGCAGGCAGCGCTGCGAGTCAGGTTGAGCAATTTCTCTTCTTGTTTTTCTTATTTCACTTGAAGGGTTGTGCTCTTTGGTGTATCACAAGTTCTTGTCTTTTGATCATTGCCACAATTGAAATTGTAAAGAGAGAAAAGGACGGCTTGTTGGTTTGCTTGCTTTTGCAGGCAATGGAAATAGAGGAAGGAGAATGAGGTGAAAATCTAGAATGATAAATTTTTAGGGTTGAAAATTCAATTTCCGTTGCATTAATGAAGTCCTATTTATAAAACAAATGATAAATTCAAATCTCTAACTAAATGCAATGATCAATGAGAAAATCTCTCTTTAAAATTGGAAATATAGGACTACTTGTCCTAGATTTTGGTTACTAATTGCTAAATATAAGAATTGACCACTTGTTAAACCTGAAACTAGGAAAATGTTAAAAAAAGAAGATACAAACTAGGTTTCAACCCTAAATGGGCTGAAGCACAAATGGACCACTACCTAGGCTCAAACAATCAACCCTAAGGAGACTTATTTTCCTCTTTAGTATGGCTAGCATCGGTCTGCTCCAATTTAACCAATCTAATGGTTTTCTAGGACCTCTAGGTTAGATCAGCTTTGATCACTTGCTCCAAAGAAGTGAATTGGAGATTAGAGGCCTTTGGGATAGCCTGAATGACACTGCACAGATGGAGCGATGTATCTTGCATCATATATTCATCTCTTCAGGGTGATCTAATTGATATTCATCCTACTCCCAGCGTTAGAAAGGCAGGATGGATAGGGGCTATTGGTCAAAATCAAGCTACTAGAGTGGTGACAATGACATAGGCCGCCACCACTCTTTGTAATTTAGTGCTGTCAAACATGTTGGTTTGCTTTGTTCCAGTCTGCCCGGGAGGGCATTTCATGATTTGGCAAATTTTTGTTGTGTAATAGCTGTATTTTTGCAGTTTATGTCAATTCTGTTTAACTTATAATACCTTCTTAGCATAATGGCTGTATAACCAAATACAGTTATTTGGTTTTATTCTTTTCTATGCCAAGTTTCATGCAATCCTTCTTGAATCAATTTTATTTGATAGAAGTATTTTTTGATTGGCTTCATTTTGGCTGTTATCTTGCAGATGCTATACCGTGGCATATCTTGAAGATAGGAAGTACTCTACTCTGGCACCATTTGGTGGCTTTGCATTTATTGGTGCTTGGGCAAGCTTGCTTTTCTGACCAAAAGACATGCTAAAAGTGTTGTTGCCTGGTAATTTTCAATGTGTGTTTTGTATTTGAATGCTTAGTAGTCCCAGAATTCTTCTTCTTCCATAAAAGTGCGGTTTCATTGATGAAATTGTGATTACAAGTATTATAGAAACCAATCTGCCTGTAGATTTTTGAAACAATATGTTCACTTTAGCTTCAAAGTTCCATGAATCTCATAATATTTATGTTCGTGTATCATAGATAAATGTTGACTGAAGCTGATCCATATCAAAGTTTTCCTATTGGTTTCTAAAACCATTGACCAGTATGTACAAATAATTTGTTCATCAACAATCTCAGCAAATTTCAGCCAATATAGATCTATTTCTTTGTCAGCTACCCTCTGATGCAATTTAGCCTGCTGAAAAGTGATCACCAGAAAGAGCGCTAGTTCAAGCAAAAAAGATATTGTACCCCACTCCCACCCTAACCTAAGCACCCTGTGGAGCTGACAAAACTTTATCCTTTGACCAACAAATTTGAGTTTTGAAGTTGATAGCTAGAGTCTATATTTTACACTAAACTATTTATTGCGATTTTCCATGTTGGACTAATTCAGTTTGCACTTGGATTTTTTGCATCAGTTTGGCTCTGTTTAGTTTCAAGGAATTAAAAGAGTGGAAATAAGAATGTGACATTTAAATGGTATATGAATTGATTTGAAATTAGTTTTCACATGCTTGTTTAGTTGAGAATAAGTTAAGTGAAAATTTGTTTTTTTATTTGATGTTAAATTGTGTTTTTATTTCTTGCAAGGGAACATATGTGTCATAATGCTTACCGAATAAATTTTTCTTTTCATTTTTTATTATGGTTGGATTAATATATGTAAATGGAGAATGTTTTTATTCCATTTAGGTAAATTCAATTACCTATTAATTACATTATAACTATACTAAATTTCATATGTGCTCTATAAGTTTACTCTGTCGAATGCTACAAAAATAGGGTCAAACGGATGCAATTTAGCCAAAATTTAACTTAAAACTTCTTGTTCGCATGAAAGGAGTGCTCAACCATCTTTCTGGTAGCAGTATGTCTGGAATGCTGAAATGGTAGAAAAAAGCTGACATTGTCAAAGTGGACAAATTAACTCAAAACGATGCTTGATTCCTCTCTGACAATTGCATTACTATCTTAGTGCACCTGCCATTATGTTTAATGAAATCATTAATCCTAGTAACCTTTTAGTTGTATTTATCAGGAGATATTAATGCTTGGCTATTTTGACCGTGATTGACTTATTGTATGTCTTAACCTATCATTAGAAACGAATGGCATATGATGTCTTTCAAGGGAACAATTATTATGTCAGGTGACCTGACGTAGCTTTACGTTCGGACGCCATTAACATGTCGCCACGTGCTCTTACTCTTTACCGCGCGGCCCAACGACTTGACCCAAGATTGCTATGTTCGCGTATTGCTCGGTATTGCTCTAGGTATTGTTCGGTATTCCTAGGTATTGCTTGGCAATAATGAAAAATATCGCTCTGTGAAGACCAATACCGAGCAATATCAAGAAATACCGAGCAATACCGAGAAAAACTCGGTATTTCTCGATATTGCTCGGTATTACTCAGTATTGGTTTTCACAGAATGATATTTCTCGTTATTGCAGAGCAAAATCGACCAATACCGAGCAAATACCGAGCAATACCGAGCAATACACGAACATAGCAATCCCGGCTCCGTTCCGGGTCAGGGTTGTCGGGCCGCGTGGTAATAGTGAGAACACGTGGCACTATTTTACTGTCGTCCGAACGTAGAGCTACATCAGGTGACCGGACCAAATAAAAATTCCTTTCAAGGAGGGGTTCATGCAGACATATGAATTAGAGTTTCACGAGAGAAATTCCTTACATGGGTTTAGCTCAGTGACCATAGAAGAACCACTGAAGTAGCAAAAAAAAAAATATTTTTTATTTTTGCGACTTTGGGCGATCAAGTTATTAATAAGAGTACACGTTTTAGATATCTTGGGTTAATTGTTTAGAGTGATGATGAAAAAGATGGGGATATTTTTAGTATAATTTAAGTTGAATGGTTGAAGTGGAGGAATGCATCAGGCTTGTTGTGTGATAGAAAAGTCCCTCTTAAACTTAAGAGAAAACTCTATAAGATGGTAGTGAGACCTACAATTCTTTATGGTGCAGAATGTTTTTAAAACCCGAAAAAAATGTCGATCGGAAACGTCGCACGCATTTCGATGCACAACGACGAGAATAGACAAATTTTTTAAGTTGTCAGAATTTGATGAAATAATTTTTATAAAATTCTACGCGAAATTTTGAGCGATTTGATATAAAGAACTTATAGTAATTTATGCATGGTTTAGAAATTAAAAAAATCAACGAAGTTTATTAATGGGTAAATGACTAAGTAGCCCTCTTAACTCTTAAGAGAGAGTTTATGCATGTGAGGACACATGCCTCTTTTTGCCCCTAACTGCCCAAAATACCTAAAAGGTACCGAAATATTTCGGTCCCTTTCATTTCCTTCGTGTCTCCCTATCCGGACGAACTCAAGATACGGAAAGAGGGCGGCGGGAGCAAGGTGACGGTGGCTACTAGGGCCGTTTTCCGACCGTGGTTTAAGGAGAAATCGAAGGGGAAGGCTTGGGGAAGAAGAAAGTAAGTTCCTAAACAAAGATTTCTTCCTTTTCGCTTAAATTTCTTAAGATGAAAATGTTAGGGTTTATGCAAAACATAAAATTTTATAAGAATAACATTAAGGGAATGTTTAATGATGGATTCTAACCACAAATTTTAAGTTTTCCCCAAAATTTTTAAGTTTCCAAAAATCAGGATTTTTCCAAATGTTGATTTTTTATTAAAATTTCTTAACAAATATTATTCCTTAGGGTCTTAGGAAGGTTCTATTGGTGAAAATTTGGTATTTTTCATAAAATATTATTTTTTCTAATTTCTAATTAAATTAAATGCGAAAATAGAAAGTCCTAGTTATTTATTTAAATGATTGAGAAGATTTGGCATGCTAAAATAAAGAGATTAATGAAAATTTGGTTTCCAAATTTAGGGCTTTAGATTAAATCCGAAAGTTAAGTTTATTTTAAATTTATTTAGGCATTGATAATAGGTTAATTTGGGTAAATAGTGAAATTATACAAAATATAAAGAGAGAGAAAGAGAGAGAGAGAGAGAGAGAGAGAGAGAGAGAGAGCCTAGGGTATATTTATAAGAGAAGAAGAATTAAGTTTGAGATTATTAAATTAGCTTATGAATGTGAAATTATTTCATATAGCCATATAGGTGGCTAATTTAGGTAGGTATTAATGATGATTGAAATCATCATTAAAGGAAAAGAATGGGGGTGGCCGGCTAGGTGGTGGTGGTGGACTGGCCGACGGGTGGAAAGGGGAAGAGGGAGGCTTAGCCGGCGACTATGGAGGGTTTGGCCGACAGTCAGGGGAGAATGAGCTAGGGGAGAAAGAGGAGGTTAGGGCGGTGGCTAGAAGACAGAAGAAGGGGAATTAGAGAAGGAGAAAGAAAGTGTAGGGAAAGAAAGAAAAACCATGAGCCGGACACATACTGCAGCTGATAGGTGTTGCGCTGCCCTCACCTAAGGACTTCAAACCACAAGCCCAGACAAATCTTGCGGCTGGTGGATACTACGCTTCCCTCACATAGGGATATCACCAAAGTTTTTCTCAAAGAACAAGAGTGCAGAAATTTTTTTTATTAATAATTCATCATACCAATATAATAGCGATGACATCTATATATAGGTCTCAAAATGAAAGAAAAAAAAAAGACAAACATGCCCCTAGGGCTTACAAAGGACAATTCCCTCAGATGGTAAAAACAAAAAAGCATAAATAAAACAAAAAAATAAATTAGTAAATTAAGATAAATTGGAATGATCTCGGCCCTTGATCTTCATCTCTTCCTCAGACAAGTGTTCACCGTCGGATGTCTGCATTAGCTGCTTTAAGAAGCAGTAAGAAATCTGTCCCAATCGTCTTAGTGATTGTGTCGATCAATCAGATTGTGTTATTGCCTCGGACCTCAAGTCAATTTCTCGTGCTCGCTCGGAGGTGCAGGGGGTTAACCCCTGCTTTGTACACGAAATTTTTTTTTCATACAAAGCTCCGAAGTTGTCTACCCAAGCCCGGGTGCTGTGTTCCCGAGCACCCCAGCTCTGTGTTACCGAGCACCCTGGTGCGGTGTTCCCAAGTGCCCCAGCGCTGATCAACAAAGAGCAGAGCGTCGCAGCGTTCTAGATTCGGCACCGCAAAGCTGTGTGACACCGCAGCGCTATGTGTTTGAGCTTTGCAACATTATCAGATAGAGGCTTGAGCGCTACAACGCTCTAAAAGGGTGCCGCATGGCTTCGAGGTGGACTGGTTAGTTATCTTTCTCTCTTTTTTAAAGGTTGCGTCCCTTGGTGGTTTAATACTTGACTTTATCTTACATTTTAGGTATTTTAGTGAGTGAGAACATGTGCATGTAAGAAGAGAAGCAAGGAGAGAGTGAGAGAGAAGAGAGATTTGTACTTATTTCTCCCAATTTTCATAGTAAAATTCTTGGTGTGGTTTGGCTCCATGTTTTTTTCCTTAGCTTGGATTTTTTCACGTTAAATTTTGGTGTCCTTTTCTTTCCGTTTTTTTTTTTACTTTTTTATTTGTTTTATCGTGGCATTTTACTTTCATCCCAACAAAATGAAGCCTTAAGTCTCTCCAAAATAGGAAGGAAATGTTATTTATGAACTATTTTAGCATAACATGAATAAGTAGGCACGTCAAATCCTAGCCGAATTATTGGCTTAGCAAGAATAGATATTATTATTCATTCTCTTGCCCTTTTTGTAATTGTTTGTTTAAAGGTACAACATAATCATAAAATTAAATATACATCCACACATACTCGAGAACCCGACTCAAGTGAAGTTCATCCAATTCAAGGCAACCTAACAAGAATAAAAGAGTTGAACTCGTCTAAACCATGAAGAACTCATCAGGAATACAGCTCACTTATCAGAGTTATAAACGAATCGCCAGGATTGTTGTGAACTCACTAGGACTACAATAAACTCAGTTGAAAAGATTTAATCCAAGGCTTAATTAGGATTATTCACCCAGGTTCAGAAGCTTCTATCCGTATTTTTTCTTGCAAGCAGGCGACTTCACCAAGGAAGTTAGCAGCTTTGACTAGCAAAACTGCCGACTTTGACCAGTAATTGTCCATATGTCAACTATTCATGTGTTTATACTATTAACTACACATCTCATGTATTTTGATGTATTTTATTATCTTTACACAACTTTTGCTTTAGCACCAAAGCCTTGGCCTGAATTTGTAAACAAGGATTTCGGGGGCTATTTTGACATACGAAGTCCTGGACACCCAAGCTTGTGTTTTTGGCCATCTAGTGAAATCCCAAAACTTTTCTCTTTGAACTCTCTCTCTCTCTCTCTCATTATTATTTTTGTCTGCCTTGTGAATCTGATAAGTAAGGTTTTGATTATGCTCATGGACAAATTTTATCTAACACAAACCACCAATTATACTTCTATACCATGCTTCTATCTAGCCAATTGTGTATCCTTTTAAGTACCATTCTTGCCTTTTTAAAGTTCTATTTTCTTATTACCTTTCATTGTTCTCCAAACTGAAACTTCAAAATGCAGATTGCATTTTTTAGTGATTAGTTGGGAACTGCTTGGATCTAACCACTAAACTGTAACTATACCTGCTTTACTGCGTGAATCAGTCAAGGCACATTGTGTAATTTTTTCTTGTTGCTAATGAAGTTTTAGCTCTTCTTTTTCAGTTCATATCCATCTTGTTCTTCTGCTGATTATGTCCGAAGGGTTCCTAAGTGAGAATCAATTTCTTTTTTTTTCCCCTAGCAATTGAGAAAATTCTATTTATTTATTGATTTTTTGGAGAATGTAGCATAAATATTACGCTTCTTAAATTTTTAAATCATGGAAATGCCCAAATAATTTTTAAATATCTTACATTATGCTTTAATATCTTGCAGGTCATCACAGGCTGCGACTATTCATGTTTGAACTTGTAAGGCTTCGATTGGGACGGCTTTCTTACTGCTTCTTAAAGTAGTTTTTTAGTACAAAAAAATATTTTTTTCTACTAGAAAGCTGCTTTAAAAAGCAGAAAGAATGCTGTCCCAAACGAGCCTAAGTCTTTGTTGGAGCTGGGGGTTGCCACCGACTTTATTGTGGACACAGTATAAATCTAGAATAAGAATGTTGTAATAGAAAACTCATGTTTTACCTGTAATTTCCAACAGATTTTGTTATTTTCTCATTTGATAAACAAGTGTAAAGGTCTCCTGATGTGCCTTTCTATGTTTTCCTCTCAACTTTCGTAAGATTTTTTTTTAAACATAAAACAGGGTGGGAGGTAAAATGGTTTCCATTGTGCTTTTGCACTCTTCACGAACTGGAGAAGAAACATCTATTATCATGCTTGGTATATTGTAAATCTTGAAAGAATATGATCAATCTTAATACTGTTTGTTATATTTATTCAATTACCCATCTTTCAGATGAAATTGTTATTTCAGGTTCTGCTTGAAATTCTTACTGAATGATTGATGCAGCAGCTTTACAAATTCTCTTAATTGTGATAAAATAGAGAGTCGCCTTAGATGGTTTGGATGTAGAGAGGTGTCCATATAAGGAGATTATTAGGTTATATATGTATATTACAAGTGAAGAGAGGTGTCCATATAAGGAGATTATTAGGTACGAAATGCGAACCGGGAGAACCGTCCGCACAAGCATTGAGTACCTAGCAATACCGAGTGCAGGTACAGCTAGGTACTCAGTACTTGTGCGCATGATGCGCACTCCACACCCAATAATTTTTCCTATATCAGTTTGAATAAATTTCTTTGCATTGACTGTTTCTAACACTAAGAGGTGGGGAATAAGAGCAACTGACTTATTTTCATGCCTTAGAAGAAACGTGCGTCTCTCTTTCTTGGCATTTACTCCCCATTGTTGATGAGACTAAGAGCACATTATTGTTGATTGATATAATGTTGATTGATTTGTGCTTCTGGTAACTCACATACCATTAAACCATTTCAAATGAAGTCTTAGGACTGCTTTCTTATTACTTCTTAAAGCAATTTTTTAATTTTTATACTAAAATTTTACTTTAAGAAGCAATAAAAAGCCGTCTCAAACAAAGCATTAGTTTTCATTTGGAATAGCTTTATTAATGCTTTCAAAAGTAGCTTCTTGTATCACCTACTGAGAGATTTGAATCCAAAAGTTACAACATATAACATATAAAAATTTGCATCTTAATTAAAAAAAAATGTAGTGAACGTTGCTAAGGGTAATTCTATGTACCATTTTGAGAAGTTGGATTTGGCTATGATTTTGTTTGAGATAACTTGTTTTACTATTTTGCTTTTTAGATTCCAGCCACAATTTTTGTTAGGACGGTACTTTTTCGCTACTTAAAATAAAAATTGTGTTAGCAAGATGCTTCCTACAACAACTTTTCAAAAATTTATTTTCTTCACATAATTTATAACCACCTTAAAAAGCACAACTATCCCAAATGGATCCTATATATAGGGGTTTCAATATTTAACACGATCCAAAAAACTGACCCAAATCTGAATCGGATCGGGTTACGGATTATTGCAAGAAATTCAATCACATCAAGCTAGCTTTAGATTAACTTAAGCTTATGAATGAGAGCATGTTTGTGTATTGGACTAAGAACAGGACTAAACAAAAATCAAGATTCTATCAAAACTGAACCTATCTTTAACTTAATCCAGCTTGGATCAAGCCAGCTCAACCAAGAACAGCTGAGACCTTATCTTGAGCCGGTTTAGATGGTTTCCAAAGCATTTCACAGCCTCCATGCTTGCCTATAGTCACTCTGTACCAAATAATCAAATTCTTGTTAAGTTTATGACCATCTAACTCAGAAAGAGTTACATATAAAGAGCATCTAAATGAATAAAATAGTCATCAGAGATGAGATAAACAAACCATCATGACTCCATTGCCAACTCTCCTTCAGCTTCAGCAAACCATCATGACTCCATTGCCAACTCTCCTTCAGCTTCAGCAAAGACATTAATGCCTTCCCTTCCCATCAAGATAGCAGTAAGCATCAACTTCCCAGCATCTGGGAAATTCTTGTGCTGCATCAAGATAGTTTCAACTGATGAGCCTAATTCCTTCGAATTTGCGAAGTCTAATTCATCCTTCCTTAGTGGCAAAACCTCATTGAAACCTCCTTCAAAAGTCTCTGATGCAGGCCCATAGCAACGGTATGAAGCTTTAAAAAGAACGGTTTCTCTCAAATTCTCAATGACCAATTCATCGCTCCATCCATTTGCTCTTGCTGCATTGGCTAGAGATGCCCAGTCATCCTGATCGGCAGCATTTCGCCAACTTTCGTCGAGAAGGCTACGATTCGAATTGCGAAAGTTAGAGCCTACCCAAGCAAATAACTCAAATGCAAGTAAAGCCAGCTTTTGACTTCCTCCTCTCAAGCACATCTCGATAAGCACTACAGGTGGTAGTAGCTTGTTCATGTCTGGTTTTCCTTTATTCTCGGGGAAACTTGCCAAAACCTCTTCCTGTTAATAGAATGTCAAAGTGCAAGAAATCAGTGTTGAGCTTTGGATACAATAACTGACTTTACAATGGACTGCAATGTTTTTTTCTATACAAGTAAAAAATGAAAACTAAACCAGCCATTGTAGAAAAAAACAAATTTTTATGAAAGTCGAAACAATATTCAAGACCTTAAAGCATTTCTAAAGTTCAGCTACCAACTTAATAACAGTAATTTCTTGCTAAAGTAAAATATGCTTAACAAGTCAGCTAAATGAATTTTTAGGCTTCGATTGGGACGGCTTTCTTACTGGTTCTTAAAGCGGCTTTCTAGTACAAATTTTTTAATTTGTGCACTAGAAAGCAGTTTTAAGAAGCATGAAGAAAGCCGACCCAAACGAAGCCTTAGGCAGCAGAGTCAACGCAAATTTAGAGCTGATACTTGCTCAATATTAGACATACCTCAACTATTTTTAGTCAGCCTTCGGAATCCTCATTTTTTTAATTCAAATTTGGATACAGTTTATCAATTTTAGCATAAATTTTATAATTCAAAGTCGGATTTCACCTGGTCTTTAAACTGGCAATGGCAGTTTGAGAGCTGATGTCCAAAATCTATGAAAAATCATAAAAAGAGTAATATATGCAATTGATTTACTCTAAGAAAAACTCATGAATTTGCAAACGCTCTGAAATTCCTAGGGAATTATTAGATCATTAAAAACGTAACACAGTTACTCAATAAGGATAAGCTTTTTTTTTTTTACTCAATAAGGATAAGCTTATAATTGAACTTCAAGCAAAATCTTCTGAGGCTTAAATTACTTTATAGGCACCTGCAACATCAAAATATGGAGATCAGCCTCTATACGAAGCATCTTCAACTCAAAACCCTCTTTCTTACCTGATACAAGGCAATATAAAGTAATCAGCTAGTGAAGAAGGTAAAATAAAAGCAATACACAATCATAGGTTTAAAGCAGAATCAAAACTACTATGCTTTAAGCTCACCAAGAATTTTCCTAATACACTACACGCTAGTAAAAATTGAATAAATTGTTCACAAGAAAATCATGATGAGTATATGTAAGAACCGGACCGGCCAGTTATTAATAGGGGGGGCGCAGCTCTTGCGAACAGAACAGGCGGATGAATCGCGAACAGAGGAAGCGGGCGGACACTGAGCGGAACCGAAACCTTGCATAGGAGGTTTCCGGAGTTTTGCTTCGCCAATTTTAGCAGTCGATCGTTTTGGAGGGTAAGATTAAACAACTCCTTTTCATTTCTATTGTTATAGAAGTGTGTTGTGAGAAAAGACAATGGAAGAGAAGAACGATTTGGAAGAAAAGAAGGAAGAAGGTTTGTGTATATTTTTATATAAATGTGTTTCCTATTCTTCATATGATTAGTAGAAATATTTAATTGAAGATAAGAGAGACAATTGGAAGTGAGGAGAAAAGATTTGAGAAGGAAAGATGAAGGATTTTGGGATTTTTGGAAAATCCTCATTGTAAGTAAATTTCTATCATTTAATTGTTATTAAATTTTATTAGTTAAATCAAGTTTTCAAGAAAATTTTGTTGTACTATTTTAGAGATTTTGGAAAGAGAGAGATCAAAGTTGTAAGAGTTGATCAACCAAGGATTCAATAAGAAAAGGGAAATTGAGATTCAATGTAATTATTAATTAAATGAATATTTATGAAAATTTATGGAAGATTAAATGATTTTTTTTTTTTTGTGAATTTCTTTAGGTTGTACAAAGCGTAGAAGACTTGAAAGATTCAAAGTGGATAAATTATGTAATTTCATGATTTTATTTTATGCATACAATCTTTTAAATATTCGATTAATTGCATAGATTACGAATGTTGAGGATATAGATATATCATGATTTTAAAGTCGTTTGATAAATTTCATCTGTTGTAAACGTTTGAAAGTTTTATTAAAGTGAAAGGTATTGACTAAAGCAAAAGTTATATATATATATATATAATACATGTAAAAGTGAAAAGGAAAAGGTATTGCAAATTACAGGAGTTCACTTCCGTATGGTACTAGTTGGGGAAGCAACGTACCCGTGCACGTTAAAAGTGAAAAGGAAAAGGAAATGGTTGTATCTCAATTGGTACATTAAGACAGTGCTCATGTATCAATGGAAATAGGGAAATGGATATACTAAGGAATTGAATGTTAAATCTATTAAAAGAAATGATAAAATAGAAATGAATAATTATGAATGTATACCAAGAAGTCTTATGTGTGATAAAGTTTGAAATGTCTAAAAGATATATGTGTATCGATTTGTTATTAAGAAAGGAAGCTGCATGCATTATATTGATAAATATATTTTAACTATTTTATGACTTTCAATGGTTACCCACTGAGTTTACTTAGTAAACTCATTCCATTAAATAAACGATTTCAAGTAAGATTTCAAAGTCTTAAGAAATGGCCAAAAGAAAAGAATTCGTCTATAGAAGACGGCGTGCAAATGACAATAGGTAATTTATGATTTAATACAAATGCTAAGTATTAGAGATTTTTTTTTGTTAGAGGCTTTTTCAGTTGAATGGAGAAAACTTTATGTTGTATTGCTTATGAATTGGAAATATTTTGATCCTACCGTCAGACTTTTAGTTCATGCCTCGTTAAATCGAGCATCCGGGCCGGATCGTGACAGTATAATACATACCAAAAACTTTGATATTCACGTTTAAACCATTTTGAAACCACTTCACTTCGAAGTACACTTGTTTTGTTCCTCAAAGTGTGCTTCTTTTAAGATTATTGATTTCCTTGAAACAAAGTTAAATAATTAGGACAGTCCTTTCCCACAGATACAGGTGCTTTGCAGGTAAAAACAATTCAAAGTTGTCTCCAACTTAAAAAAGATCACAAATCTTGAGACAGACAAACGAGAGTGACCTTCAAAAGACATCAATAATGAATAGAAAGAGTAAAATGTTAGAAGTAGATCACCTGACATGATCTCATTAGATGAGTCCCAGACCATGGTCAACTAATGCTTGCCATCTCCAAACAATGGGATGCAATCTCAGTATCTTTTCAAGAATAACCAAGATTTTGATAAAATTGAGACTTTTATAGCATATCAGGAATAGGTCAACATAACAAAACAAAAGCAATACAACACCCCAAGAATAGCCCCTGGTTATGATTCACATTTTAATGAGCTAACTTTAACAATCACAGTTAGAACTCTAAACAATGACACTCATATCTTCAACTCAAAATACATGAAAATGCACATGAATGTGTTCATACTATATATATATATATATATATTCATTTCAAATTTTGGAAAGTGATTTTAAAACCCATGAGATTTACTTAGAATCAGCTCAAAAATTAACTAAAAAGCAATTATTGCAATTTAACTTCAAATTGATTCAAATTAAAAAAAAAAATTATTTGAGTTGACGTTTGAAGTTCACTCAATACCACCCCTCTTAAAGCTATGCTCTCAATTCAGTAATGCATTATTGTCTTATTGTTGTCCTGCTATCTACTAAAGATCAAAGAAAGAACATAATCACCACTTCAGTAACACTGCAACCTTGTGCCTCTATCTTCTATAAACTTTAATTGTTGCATACTCACCAAGAGATAAAAGTCATTTTACCAATTCGTATGGGTAAAAGCCCATTTGGGATTGTTTATGGCCATCATGTACTCCACATCATCCTTCTTACCCATCAAACCCTCCATATATTGACTCTAACATTAAAGCTAATTAATTCAATAATTTGTGCTTCACAGACTGCAGGAAAAGATTAAAAGTTACAAGGAGGTAGTGGATCTCCATTGATAATCATTACAAAAGGGTTACATAACTAGCTCCTTTTTTTTCCTAAAGCTTCCCTTTTTTTTACTAGTTGGAGCTCAAAAGGAATATAATGTAAGAGTTTTGCCTTATATTGTAATCAATAGAAGCCAATGCTTATCTTTTCGATCACTTAACTCAACATGGACTTGTTTATAACAGTATTAATCTCTATTCCTTCTTCATAGGATCCAGATTTCTGGCTCCTCCGCATTCATCAAATACTTCAATGTCTCCATCAGATTTTATATTTTCTAAACAATAATCTCATTGGTATATGTAAAAAGTGTCATCTTTGAGCAGCAGCAACAAACAGTGAATTGATGAATTAGTGATTCACAAAGTGATGCTACTGCATCTTGGCTTAATGAACCACATCTCTACATCTCTAGTGTTATAAAGTAGAAACTAAATATCTAGCAGCACTAGCTAAATGCAAACTCACTATAGACGAGCTCTTTGCAACTTAGGGAAGTTGATGCCACCCAAATATGATTATAGCTTGAAATGAATACGATTTGAGACAAATTTCACTAGAATTTGCTCTCTTTACTAGGATTATATTGGTGGTCTGGCCGATTTCATTTTGTGGTGATTTGCTTATTTATTGAGATTTTCTGCATGTAATTATTTTAAGCAGTTGGATAATTTAAATGAGTGGTACATGCAGAACAAGGATTACATATTTACATCATATATAACCATCCTAAGAGGAATTGAAAGGAACATTGGGATTGACCTCCTTTGGAAAATTTTTATCACTTTTTTCAATCCAAGCCCATAGAAACCTCGTCAACACCAAAGTTCTCACCTTGAAACCATGCATCCAATAAATATCTTAAACTATAGCTCAGGATGCACTTCAAACTTTCTGGATGTGCAGGGTTATTCTAAGAGTTTCTATAGGAATTGTCTAATTTAAAAATCATTTTCTTTTCCAGCATAACATCTGACGTTCTGGTTAACTTTTAGGAGACACAAAGAAAATATGAGCCCTTTAGGAGAGTATTTTCAACACTCCCCTACTACATCTGCTGAGATCACTGATGGCACAGATCTTCTCTTAAGTCATATTAATTTTCTGTCAAGATTACTCTAAACCAATCCCTTTCCTTTTTGTATAAATCTTATTGGGCTAACAAAGCTTGGTTCTGCTGATATTTCACTTATGTTATTAATAGAATATAACAATATATCAAGTTCGGTTCATATTTTGGCCTGTTAATATGCTTTTAAACAGCAAAACAATTGCTGAAGTTTAGCACTTGATTCAAACTTGAGGAATGCATGAGTTAGCCATCTAATAGTAGGTGCATTAATAGGATTTTGTCATAAGTTGAAGAGGAAACTACGATGCTACTTTCTAATGGCATTTTTCCTTGCAACCAATACTGATAGAAAGTACCACACAAGGTGGAATATTGATGACAATGGGCATGCTTAACTGTGAAATAGAGAACATTGGAAATATAGAAACAAACCTGCAGCCACAGCAATCTTGGACAGGTTGAGCAGGCGCCTTCTATCAGAAGTAGAGGATGGCATCCTGAAATGCACAAATTCTTGTTCTTCAATCAAAGCTGAGCTGTCATCTTGAGATAGGGCCAAGGCATGCAGAGTTTCTGAAGCAGAGGAGAACTGAGACAAGTAAATCTCATGAAGCCACAGCAGATCATTATGATCCTTGAGAAAACTAGCTAATTCATCCCGGAACTCTTCTCCAAGCCTCAATAGCTTAGCAAATTGATGATTTTTTATCAACTGCTCAAAGACAAAATTACTAAATCCTCCCTTAGGTCCACGACTATCATGCTGCATCACAGCAAAGTAAATGTTAAAATATGTCTGCCATACATTCTACACAAAGGTTTGCGAATTCAAGTTCAACATAGATCCATTTCAAACCCTTCCCTTATCTGCCCATGATTTGGTGATATTTTAAGTGTTCAGCACTAATTTTGGCAAGCCAAAGTTAGAAATAGCATATTCCTGGATCATTGAAAGCCGTTGAAGATCACGGTTCTGTATATGGAGAAGTGATATGCACTGCGGTGAACTCCTTAGAGGAAAACAGGGAAAACATAGGAAGAAGTGTGTATAATATGAGCTCTCTCTTCAGCATTTTTCATTTTTTTTTCTCCTGTAGTTTTATTATATATAGTAAGATGAGAGGATACAGCAGGGATCTTGACTGATTACAACAGAAGTGCCTTTACAAGCGTAGCGTATAGATTGATTTTGGCTGTTTTAATCTAGTGGATAGTAAATAAAGATAGAAGGTTTATGCTCCATTACCAACTGTGACTTGATCCGAGCCTTGATAGGGAGTAGAGTGAAGAACATTGTCAAGATGAGGAGTAAGGTTGGAGGAAGCCTCGGAGCCAATGTACCAATCAGATGCAACCATAGATGGGCTGGCCATGAGAGCAGTTAGAGTTCGGCTGAGGTGGTCATGGGTTGTAATGAGAATTTAGTCGATGCCAGTAGGGTGACCACGCTTTCCACAAATTAGATAGCAAACAGGTCGAAATGAGCAAGATTGTCGAGGTCGTGTATTGAAGTTAGATGGGTGAGGTGCAGTGGGCTGAGAAGAGCGACCATGGGAGCAATTTGGACGACCTCTGGATGTGTAGAATGCAGAGTGCAGATCATGCGGGTGGGCGTTTTGGTGAGTACTACTGATATGTTAATTTCTTCACTGAGAATAAGGGAATACATATCTTCAAGGCTTATGGGCTTGAGTTGAGTGCGAATGAAACTCTTGAATGCCTAATATGGGGATGGGATGCCATTCATAATGTAGAGAACTATGTCTATATTGTCCACAACGGAGCCCACTACCGCAATGTTGTCTACTAATGACTATCTCTATGAGGTATTGAAGCATGGGTTTTTTTTTTTAAGTGTCCTTGCAGGGCTCGTTTTTTAGTTGGATGACTCGGGAGCGGTTAAACGATTGAAGATGTCGATCACTGGTGGTCTAGATATCTCAAGAAGAGTCGAGATTGATCAAATAAGGAAGAATGGCTGCTGTGAGCGTGGAACAGAGAGCCGCGGCCAAATTTTGATCAATGAGATTCCATTAATGGAGTGCTGGATTGGAGTGAGGTTCACCAATAGAGTTTGGAAGCAGAGCTGGTGGAGTAGTCGAGCTATCAAGAAATCCAACAAAGCCATTTGGCGTGAAGGAGTTTGAGGTTTTGAGCATGCCAAATGGGGTAGTTGTCGTTGGATAATTGAGGGGGGACAATGGTCTTAATATTAGAGATAACAAACTTTAGGGAGGATGGAATGGGTGGGTCATTGAGTGGAGATGGAGTTGCCGTGAGCTAAGAGGTTGCTGATAGTGCCATTGTGAAGATACCGCTAGGCAGATTGCTCTCATAACATGTTGAAGTTCACGGTTCTGTATATGGAGAAGTGATAAGCTCTGCAGTGAACTGTTACATGAAAACAGAGGTAAAACATAGTAAAAAGAATGTATAACAAGAGCCTTCTCTTCTCTTCAGCTTTTTTCATTCCAATTATTTTGACTATAGTTGTTTACATATGGTGAGATTGGAGGAGACCGCAGGGATCTTTTCTGATTATAGCAGAGGTGCCTTCACAATTGTATGGTATAGATTGATTTTGGTTGTTTTGATCTAGTGGTTGGTAAATAAAGACAAAAGGTGGATGCTCCATGTCTTGAGAATAACTACCAGTTATTAGAAGCAATTCAGTTGCACAATACATCTCAAAATAAATGATTGCATAAAACATAATAAACGTTTTCCAGAAACAACTAAAAAAAAAGTAAAAATAAAATAATAATAATAATAATAAAAACTTGAACCCTTAATGCATTTCGAACAGTTCAGATTTAATTTTAAGATTACATTTGCCTCTTCCATGTTATGTTATATACACCTAAAAAATTTATACGAGCCAGTAGACAGACATCATACAGAGAATATAAAAAGAACTCCATAGATTCTTTGTTCCAAGATACATACCATCAGGTTTCTCAGGAGTCCAGAATCATTAAGATGATAGCATATATGCCATAGTGTGGGATAACCTTCGTGCCTTTTTGCAATTGCTAGTAGTGGTAAAGAAACTTCTCTAAAAATATCTTCTTTAACCTCAAGATCTTCGACACCCTTGCATTTATCCTGGAAAAATAGCACATAATTGTTTTGGCTCAAAAATTGAGTTTCAAGGATGCTTTGTCAAGAATTTAAAGCTTTAAGGCTGAAAGCATGAGTCGACACATTATTTCCACATAAATCTTATGCTCGCTTGCGCATGACATTTCACAAAAAGCATTTGCGACCAAGTTAAATTGTCAAGTCTTGACTCTCAACATCTGGGCTCCAACTTGTTTAAGCTTGTTGAATAAAGATACAGAGCACAATCTTAAGGCAAAATAATTGAATTCACTAAAAGTAACAAAATATATCATGGTCAGGAAAAAGTGATTGGAACCAATTCAAGGCACCTATTTTAGATTATTTTAGCAGGCTCAACCACAATGCTAGATTTTTCTCTAGGTTTTAGGTAGCTTTGCAATTTTTCAACCCTTCAACCAAATTTGAAAGCACCTAGCTTTGCAATTTTTCAACCTTCCAATCAAATTTGAAAACCCTTAGGGCAACATGCCAACTATAATGAAAAATAAAATCCTTACACTGTGGGAATCAATTTGGGGCCATCTGAGCAATGCAAACAAAGGGAAACCGAGAGGCTAACCAATTGGCTTCAACATTTATAAGATAGAAATTATATTTTTAAGTAGATTGAAGCAAGAATAAAATTGCTTTAAAAACAACTATTTCTAGCATTAAAAATATATAAATTAAAAAAAAAATCAGCACAAATTATAATAAAATAATCATCCACTTAGTATAGTCTATTATAAAAATATAAAGCAACTTAATATAATTAGTTTATCAATACAAGACAAATTGCAAGCTGAGTAGTTTAGAACGTCAACTAGAATTTTTAATTTTCCATCACATGTATCTATTTATGAATTGTAGGATAAGTTTAAATTACTTGAAGCAATATTATTTTATTTTTTGAATTTATAATTTAAAAAGAGCATAAATATACATACAATCAGAACTAGCAAGACATAGAAGCTATGATATCAGCCACAAAGTGTAAGAGCTATATGGTGAAATGGACATTTTAACAATTGTTGAAGCTCATGACTAGCAAAGGATAAATATATATAGTTTTATATCTAGTCATGTGGTTCCTAAGCTCATCCATCTGACCCCTAAACTCAATCAATTGGGTTCTACCCTCAATAAATTTGTGATTTCTCATGTCATTTCATGGAACCTAGAAAACATGATTTCTACCATTTTAGTTATACCTTCAACTTGATTCATAGAGATTGACTCGGTACCATGATGTTCAAAGGCGGTGCCACAAGAAGCTTAAAAAAAAAAAAATTCCCCCTTTTAAGGTGTCAGGAAAAAATGTTATGAGCGTATGCTATGCTTTCTTTATGCAAGGGAATGTATTGTGCATGCATTTAAAATTTGTAAAAGCTCTCAGCACTAATATTTAGAAAAGAAAATAGTATAATTCTTTGCAAAGGAGCTTCCTGCAATAAATTATAAGTTAGTCAAAAACAATAAAAGATTAGTTCTCATATGTGAGTTAACACTCAAGGTTATTTGCAGATTTGTATATGGAACACTCACAAAGGATATCACTCAAGATAAAGTTAAGAGGGTAAGTTCTCACATAAGAAAAAGCTAGGCCATGTACGTTGAGTCAACTAGTTGGAGCTAACTCAGAATATCATATGCTTTCCATAAACATGTAATAATCCCTAGTTTTCTCCTTGATTTTATTAAATCAAAATAAAAGAAATTAGCTCAAGTCCAAGATCAAAGATTAACCCCTCATGGCTGATTGATCTACTAATCACAACTACCAAATATAATAACCCATTTTTAAAACTAAAAAATTAATAAATACACGAAATGAACTAACTAATGCCCATTCAACTGAACTAACATTAGTTGGTTATACTCTTATATTCTCAAGATGGGATATGGAGGGAGTCGAGCGAAAGAGAGAATGCGAGAGATAGAGAAATGGAGATGAAAGAGAGATTGAGGGCAGCAAGGAGGGGAAGCAAGAGTAAGAAAGAGAAATGGGGAGAAGAGGCCGAGTAGGTGAGTATGGGAGAGAGGATGCCAAGTGGGCAAGTGGAGGCCAAGCGAACAAGCAGAGGCCGAGTAGACGAGTAGCCAACTAGGCTTAAGTGAGCAAGCACGCAATCACGGCTTATAGCGAAACAAATACAATGACGGATTTCTCCTATGTGATTCGGTGGCAAAGTAAGATTTGTCTTTTCAAAAGTTTAGAAGAAATTTAAATTTAAATATTTTATTGAGAAACCCTAGAACCGTTACAATTTCAAGAAATTTTTACTAGAATCAATGTATGTAATTTCTATTTAAAGAAATTTGACATTTAAAATGATATTCAAGTGTTACTTTGCTTAAATAAGACAATTTTTATATTTAGATAAGAGAATTCAAAATTTTGTAAGGTTTTATTTTAGAAAAATTAAATAAAAAAGAAAAATATATATAGGTTAAATTTAAAAGAAATCTAAAAGAGCAATAAAATTTATTATTCTTTGCAGACTTAAAATAAGATAAAAAAGTTAATAATTTTGAGTTATTATTACGTTATGTTAGGATTTTGGATAGTTAATTTTGCACAAAAGAGGAAATCTTAATTTTAGAATAATAAATTGATAAAATTGAAAACAATGAATAATTGTTAAAGATGTAAAGCTTTATGTTTTCATATTATTAAATTTAATAAAAAATAGTAAGTTTAGAATTTAAATCAATTTTAAAAGAGCAATACAAAGGATATTTAAATATTCTAAATATTTGAAATAAAATGAAATGTCAATATATGCATTGTAAGGATATGTTAACTATTAAAGTAAATATTTGTAAATATTGATAATGGGTAATGTACTATAACAAAAGTAAAAATAAACCAAGTATAATTAAATAATGTGATCACATTTTGTTACAGGCATTAAATTAAAATAGGTGAAGTTTAAGGATTAAATGACAAGACAACTTCTGACATGAAGGCAAGTACTCATATTTCTGAATTATAGTAATAATTTTGCTTCTAAATTAAATGGAGCTATTATTATTGATACTTCTTGAATTAACTATTAACGCAACTTTATTTATGATTTACCTTTATTATAGAAAAGATTGGTCACGTTCAAATGAATGAAGTAGAGTTTCTATTATGCTTCATTTATTTATCTAATGTTATATAATATTTACTATAGAAAGCTATTGAATGAAATGAAAAATTGTAAATTAAATGGAGTTCACCCCTTCATAGTTTAGCTGAAAATGCTAATATACCCGCACGTGAAATTTAAAAAATTTTGGAAAAGAAAATTAAATAAAAATGTCGTAAATTGAACTATTTAGACGGTGCTCCAATAACAATTATATTACATTAAAATGAGACAGATACTATATAATAGGATATGGTTATGTGCACAGGAATGTTTTAAAACTCTTGCATTATCTGCTTTGAATAAAAGGAATTGTCAAATGATTTATATTAAATTAATTATTATGACAAGCATTTAATGTATAAGTTAGCCAAGCATAGAAATAGGAGAGTACAGATTTAACTCAAATGAAGTTCATCAAGGATGAAGATAAAAAAATGCTTTTATTAGAAGAGGAAATTCAACAAAGGTGGATGAGATATTTTGATAAATTTTTCAATAAATATTGAGAGAATGTGATTGACTTTAATAATCTTAGCACCCAAAATGAAAATAGAGATTTTTGTTTTTATCGACGTCTTAGTAAAACTGAAGTTAGAGAGACTTTAAAGAAAATGAAGTGTGGTAAAGCTGTTGGACTTATGATATACCAATAAATGTATGAAAATGCTTAAGAGATAAAGGAATTTCTTGGCTTTTAAACTTTTCAATACTATTTTGAAAACTAAAAAGATGTCGGATGAGTGGAGTGTGTTGATTCCTATTTTTAAGAATAAATGTGATGCACAAGAGTGTGCAAATTATAGATGAATTAAGTTAATACGTCATGCTTTAAAACTATGGGAGAGAGTTATTGAGCATAGGTTATGATATAATACTAATATTTCTCAAAATCAATTTGAATTCATGCCGGGTAGGTATACTATGGAAGCTATACATTTATTGAAAGGTTTGAAGGAGAAGTATAGAGATAATAAAGAGGATCTACATATGATATTTATTGATTTAGAGAAACCATATCATAAAGTTTATGGAGAAGTGCTTTAGAGAGTTCTAGAAAAGAAAGGGGTTAATAATGCTTATATTCAAGTCATTAAGGATATGTATGCAGGAGCATGCATTACTTGTGTTCAAACACAAGGTGGTTTGACCAAGTTTCATATTTCAGTTGGATTACATCAAGGATCAACTTTAAGCCCATATCTTTTTATTTTAGTCATGGATGTTATTAATAGACATCTGCAAGAGGATGTACCCTCGTGTTTGCTTTTTGTTGATTGTATTCTTCTTGTTGATAAGCCTAGAGAGGAAGGTGAAGGTAAACTTGAATTATGAAGGTCAACTTTAGAGTCAAATGTTTTCATTCGAGTAGATCTAAAAGTGATACATTGAGTGTAATTTAGTAATAGATCTAGTAAAGGGGATTGTGACTTTGGGCGATCAAGTCATTAATAAGAGTATACGTTTTAGATATCTCGGGTCTATTGTTCAAATTGATGGTGAAATAAATGAAGATATTATTAGTAGAATTCAAAGTTGGATGGCTGAAGTGGAGGAATGCATCAGGCTTCCTATGTGATAGAAAAGTACCCCTCAAACTTAAGGGAAAATTCTATAACTTAATGGTGAAACCTGCAATGCTTTATGGTGTAGAATGTTGACCATTAAAAGAGAAGCATTAAATCAAGTTAAATGTTGTAGAGATGAGGATGCTCGAGTGGATAAGTGGCTTCACTCTTATATACAGAATGTGAAATGAGTATATATGTGAAAAGGTTGGAGAAGCTCCAATGGCAGACAATATTAGAGAGATACTCCTTAGATGATTTGGTCACATGAAACATCGTCCTTCTGATGACCCGATACCCG